GCCACAGTGTCACTTCCGGCTTTTTTCTTTTTGCTTATGTGATGCTGAGGAATCGAACCCAGGGCCTCATGCATGCAAGGCAAGTGCTCTACCACTGAGCCACCTTCCCAGCCCTCAGTTGAGCTTTAACAAGGCTTTGTAGTACTTTAGAAGAAGCTATCTTCTAACAAAGGAGGAGGCTACAATGCTTGATAAGAAATGTACTCATAGACAGCTCTGGTGGCTCATGCCTGTAATCCTAGCTACTCAGGAGGCTGAGCTCTGAGGATCGAAGTTCAAAGCCAACTCTGGCAGGAAAGTCCGTGAAACTCTTATCTCCAATAAAACACCAGAAAAACAGAAGTGGCTTTGTAGTTCAAGTGGTAGAGCACTAGCCTGGAGCTGAAGAGCTGAGGGACAGCGTTCAGGCCCAGAGTTCAAGCCGCAGGACCGACAAAAACAAAAAACAAAAACAAAAAAAAGAAATGTACTCATTATCTTGCCAATGTAATTGTAACCCCTCTGTACAGTATTTTCACAATAAAAAATAAATAAAAAAGAAGAAGCTATCTTCCAGGAGAGGCTAGCACAGATCTATATGCCTGCCCCTAAGAGAAACTTATGCTTTTCTACATTTTAGGTCATAACAGGATTTGAATGGCTTGAAAAAGAGTCATATCTACAGTTACTTGCTATAAAGAGCATAATGATTTGAGGATTGGTATCAATTGTTATGAAGTAAGTCATTTAAGATATATTAGAAAAAACAATATGCATTCATAGGAATATGATTTTGTGTGAACATGAGGGACTTTGAATATGAGGCCAAATTGCTACCCCATATAGTTCATAATAGCATTTTTCTCCTAAGGCAGTCACATAGATCTGCACCATATTTCCCAGAAGGTCTAAAGTAATACTGTTCAGTAGAAATACAGCTTAAGTCTTCTTAAAAGTAGCCACATTTAAAAAAAGGTAAAAAGAGTTAAAGAGAAATTAAGGTCGGTAATATACTTTAACTCATGTATAAAAACGAACCTGATAAATGCAAGATTATTAATATTTTTACCATTTTTTTGTATTAAGCCTTGGAAATCAAGTATAAAATCAAATATTTTAAATGTAAAACACATGTCTCTTTGAACTTGCCACATTTTATGTGTTCAGTACCTTTCTGTGTCCTATAACCACTGTATTGTTCAGCACAGTACATGTTGTTTAGATAAAGTAGATGTTGAACTATTACATTAACTTAACTATACCTTTCTGTGCATTGTGGTATCCTTACTTAACCTTTTAACTTGGTAGAACTGGTGTGTGTGTGTGTGTGTGTGTGTGTGTGTGTGTGTGTGGTGTGGTGTGTGTGTGTGTGTGTGTGTGTGTGTGTGTGTGTGTGTGTGTGTGTGTGTGTGTCCTGGGACTTGAGCTCTGGACGCTATTCCTTAGCTCCTCAGCTCAAGGCAAGCACTCTACCACTTGAGCCACAGCACCACTTCCGGTTTTCTGATGATTTACTAGGAATGAGAGTCTCACGGACTTTACTGCTAGCTTTGAACTGCAATTCTCAGATCTCAGCGTCCTGAGTAGCTAGGATTACAGGAATGAAACACCAGTGCCTGAAACACTGGCTAAAAGTGACTTTTGAGAAGCTTTCTACTTGCCTGTTCACTGTAGTCCTCACTGGAAGATGCAAAGTATCTAGGAATTTTGTTATATGATGTGGGCAGATCAGTGGTTGGGTAAAAAATAAATGAAAGCCCAAATTATAACGAAGGTACCTGAGTGCCTCAAATTGAGAGAAAATGGACAGTGAAAATTGGTTTGTTGTTCCTATTCACAGATACAAACCATTCATCAAGCTGCTATATAGAAAATACTAGTAGTGGGGGCGGGGGGATGGGAAGGAATGGGAAAGGGAAACAAAGGAGGAGGCAACAATGCTTGATAAGAAATGTACTCATTACCTTCCCCATGTAATTGTAACCCCTCTGTACGGTGTTTTTACAATTTAAAAAAAAGGAAAAAAAAAAAAAAAGAAAATACTAGTAGTGCAGTAATTCCCTAGGAAATAATTTGCATTTTTTGTCTTTTAGATCACAACTTGAGGGGAGGGTGCTACTGACACACAGTAGCTAAAGGCCAAGGATGTATTGGCTAAATGCCAAGTATTCTACAGTACACCAAGTAGTCCCTATAGCAATGAATTACTTGGCTTAAGTGTTAGTAATACCAAGCATTATACTCTAGAGCAACCACCGTCTCCCTCCCCCCCCCCCCCCCCCCCCCCCATTAGCAGGTTTCTATAATGAATGAAGAATGTTTTAAATTTAGATTTTTGTTTTGTTTTGTTTTTTTGTCTTTTGGTCGGTTGTAGGGCTTGAACTCTGGGCTTGGGTGCTGTCCCTCAGCTCTTCAGCTCAAGGCGAGCGCTCTACTGCTTGAGCCACACAGCACCACTTCCAGTTTTCTGGTGGTTTATTGGACTTTCCTGCCTGGGCTGGCTTTGAACCACGATCCTCAGATCTCAGCCTCCTGAGTAGCTGGGATTACAGGCGTGAGCCACTGGCGCCCGGCTGTTGTTGTTTTTTTTAATGGAAAATTTCTGGGTTAGGAAGAAATAGCCAGATTTCAAAGTATCTCTGAGCAAAGTTATTGTGTAGACTTTGGTTACACACATAAAGAATGGTAACGCATGCTTTTCAGACCCATCTCTCTTTACTCAGGGGAAGATTGAGTCGGCAGTTCCTCTCGTGTCTACTCTGCAAAACTCCCTTATAACCTGGCCACTGTTCGACTTCTGTCAGGTCATATCTGTTTAAAGGAAAATGATCATATACCTGCCAGATTGTTGCCCTTCTCGTAATTCCTGTTGGGATTTTTTAATGTCTTATGGAAGTGATGTGTCTTTGTGCTTATTTTACCCTTTTAGTGTGCAGTTATGACTGATGCTATCTCAGAATGCTATCCATATCACACTCTTAATGTCTATTACCTAGGGAGCTGTGACTTTGAGATCAATATAAGTCATTGTTTTACTTCTAACTATTGTTTATTCCTGCTAGAATTTGCCTTTCAGTTTTCATGTTATGGGAATTCGTCCTCTTTTCTTATAGCTTAGTATTTTTGTACCTTTCAACTTTCTCCTCTTTCTTCAATTTTGTCAGTTTGGGTTTCTGATGGCTTGCCACCTACTTTAGCTGCAGTTAACACATACTAAAATCAGCATAATAATGGCTATTGAGAATTTCAAATTTGGTAAGGGTTTTGAGCTCCAATTTAGGGCAGTGGTCAGGGAAGTTCCTCTGGTCCTTCAGAGTAGCCAAGCATGAGCATATATCCCCTCCTCTGCCAGCCAACCTTGTCAGGGTTTTAAGGCTGGTAAGCAAGCTTTGGCTGTGTGCTCTATACTGTGCTGCACTGAAGAGAAGAAAGATGGGCACTCATATTTCCATTGCACAAGAAGCAGTTCTGACTTCAAAGGAAATTTAGATGCTTTTAGAAAATATATCTGAGCAGGCAAAATGTGGCACATGATCTCTATATTGATGCCACTTGGAATCTCCTTGCTTCCTGCAACTACGGAACCCCCCATTTCGTCCTACTAATACTGCCTCCTCAAAACAACCTCATCAGCCCAATGTCCTTGCCCCGTCACAACTTATTTTTTCCTGCTTCACTTTTTACCTATACTGCTGGCGCTGGTGCAGGGAGAGCAGTAGTGGTACCATCAGGAAGTGCTGCTTTTGAGCCAGATGGGCTTCTGGCATCCAAGTTGAGACACTAGGTTTATGTTTTCCCGATGGAGTCATAGTTAGAAATAGTAATTAACTTTTATAGTAAATGCAAGCTTGATTCTATAGCATCCCATTGTCTGAATAGGAACCCATGCAATTGTAGTTAGTATGTATGTGGGTTATTACATACCATGAAATTTGCATCTTTGATCCTCCAAGTGCTTTTTTTCTGATGGCGTAGATTTTTCTGTCCTTTGCAAAGGAGTACACTAAACACCATTTAATCTTTTTTTTTTTTTTTTTTAGGACAGATTGTAATGACCTTTGCAAATCATGTGGAGTGCATAGATTGTATTTGTGTTTGATTGACAGTTGCTTTTGTCCTCAATTTCTTGTTTTGGCAGTGTTCATATTTTCTTTTTTTTTTTTTTTTGGGTCCGGTTGTGGGGCCTGAACTCTGGGCCTGGACACTGTCCCTCAGCTCTTCAGCTCAAGGCTAGCACTCTACCACTTGAGCCACAGCGCCACTTCCGGCTTTTTCTTTTTGCTTATATGGTGCTGAGGAATCGAACCCAGGGCCTCATGCATGCAAGGCAAGCATTCTACCACTGAGCCACCTTCCCAGCCCCAGTGTTCATATTTTCTTAATTTGTGTTTTTGTTTTGTTTTCTTGAAGTGCTGGGAATCAAACCCACTGTTTTGCACATGCTAGGCAAATGCTTTACAACTGAGTTGTATCCCCAGCCTTCAGGCAGTGTTTTTGAAGCAAGGTTGATACATAGCTGAATTATTAAATTAAAATACTACACATTAGGTACAATATATGTTAATCACTTTTTCCGAGTTATTAGAAACCTAATCTCCTACTTTTTGTTTGGGAAGGAAATGCTAATTTTTCAAACAAGAGAAGGCATACCTCTTTATAAGTTGAGGGAAGTTTGGGCTTTTTCTAATTCCTATGGGATGCTTTCTAACTAATAGAGCTGTACATTTTGGCATAGTCTTTCATTTCACTAAAGTCTCATAGTATTGTTAGGGCTTAAGAAATATTGTAGCTCTGAGTGAAAAGATGACTATAAACCTATGCCATAGTTAATAAGACTAGTTTTCCCCCTCTGACTTGTATGATAAAACATGATTTGAATTCAGGTAGAATGGGTGGAATGAGATTAATTAGCATTTGTTGTTTGTGTTTGGTAAATTTAATTTTTTCCCATATTAAAAAACACTCAGATGTGTTTGTAATCCGATATTTATGAGTAAGTAGAAATTTTCTTGCCATTTCAGGCCGGAGCCTCAACAGAAAGCTCCTTTAGTTCCTCCTCCTCCACCACCACCACCGCCACCACCACCTCCGCTGCCAGACCCAACACCCCCAGAGCCAGAGGAGGAGATCCTGGGATCAGATGATGAGGAACAGGAGGACCCTGTGGATTACTGCAAAGGTGATAATCATTGTGTGGCAGTGTGAGATTCCTGTTCTCATGGGGTCACTCAATAATTTTTGTGGAGAATGGACAAGGAGAGCTTATTATTAAATTTAATAATGATTTAATAAATTAAGATAATTAAATTAAAATTTTAATAAATAAAGGGAGTGTTTATTAAATTAGCCTACTTGTTCATTGACTATAAAATGATATCAGAAAATGTAGGAAATGGAAAATTGAGATAGGAAATATGTACACATGTACCTACATACCCTGGATATTTTCAAAACAATTTAATCTGGTATAATTAAAGATAAGGAACATAATAAACCACCTCAGAAGGTTCTAGGAACAAAAAGGTACCAAACTCCAAACCAAGGTGGGATCCTGTTATATCTTGTATTCGACTTTGACCTTTCTGGCAATGGCTAAATTCAATTACATAGTACTAATTGCCTGTGGAAAGAAAGCATCTACATTTGTTTGCAGAGAGACTTTTCCTGGTATTATACTTCATGAAAAAGAAATTTTCTGTGGCTTCTGCTATTGTGTGGCATAGTTACTTGCTTACAGCTGTGATATTACAGAAGTCAGAGATTATTCAAGTGGAATATTCTTGATTCTTTTTTTCTTTTAAAAAATTGTTAATAAAGGTGAGGGGTTACAGTTACTTAAATCAGGTAATGAGTCTTGTATTGATTCTTTAAGACCAAAAAATAGGGGCTGGGAATATGGTTGTATTGATTCTTTAAGACCAAAAAATAGGGGCTGGGAATATGGCTTAGTCATAGAGTGCTTGCCTAGCATGCCTGAAGCCTGGGTTCGATCCTCAGTACCATATAAACAGAAAAAGCCAGAAGTGGTGCTGTGGCTCAAGTGGTAGAGTGCTAGCCTTGAGCAAAAGAAGCTCAGAAACAGTGCCAAGGTCCTGAGTTCAAACCCCAGGACTGGCAAAAAAAAAAAAAAGAAAAAAGAAAAAAAAAAGACCAAAAAAATATATTGTTAAACTCCTGAAGGACAAACATATGTTGTATGATGAATATTGACGATGGTGTAAATTGATGCCACACTTTTAGAGAGTCCAGTCTCTACTGAGAAAGAAAGTCTATACTACTTATACTAAGTCTAGTCTAAGATAAGAGAGAGTTGCTATGTTCATTTGGCTGCCTCTGTTATTCATCCATTTGGATTTTTAATTACCTGGATTTTTGAACTTCTGACTAGTTTATTTGCTACAAAATTTAAAACATATGAATCAGATTTCTTGTAGTATAAAGAGTAGATGGAAGCAAATGCATATATAAATAAACCTTAAAGCAATGATGAATCTTTGGGTCTGAAGTTTCTTGGTAATTTATCACTTACTTATCTAATGCCTATAGCTCTTTCATGTCTTGCTTAAGGAATAATGTAAAATTGATTATCTGCTAAGAAGAAAAGGAAGTTACTTCATTAAGGAAGTGTAAGAACTAAGCTAGTATTCTAACCTAATCTTCCCATAGGTGGAAGTACCTACACAGAATCATTGCCCTCCTTAGAAGAAGAGTAGGTCATCCCATAGCATTTTGCCTAGCTAGGGTTATGAACCTAGTAATTTATGCTCCTTTTTTTTTTTTTTGTCAGTCCTGGGGCTTAAATTCAGGGCCTAAGCACTGTCTCTGAGCTTCTTTTGCTCAAAGCTACCGCTTGAACCACAGCACCACTTCCAGCTTTTTCTGTTTATGTGGTACTTAGGAATTGAACCCAGGACTTCATGCATGCTAGGCAAGCACTCTATGACTAAGCCATATTCCCAGCCCAATTTATGCTTAAAAAAAAAAGTTACAGGGACAGTTTAGAAAGGTAAGATACACATATTCCCCAAGCTCCACTTAATTTGCATTTCTTGGCTTGGAAAGACACATGTTAAATGACAAAATATTTTACTCTTTTGATTTTTGTTGCTGTAACTAGGATATTAGGTTGACATATAGGAAGCACTCTTCAGGAATCCCACCTTCAGCAAATATCCTCCACCACACGGTCTACTCTCCATCTGAATCTCTAGTACATGGGTTAAGAGGTATAGACTGGTTATTTTCATCTGGCATAGATTATGAGCTCTTAGTATGTCAAAATTGTTCTTTTAGGGTGCAGACACAGGTATATATACAAGTTGATCATTCATTTGAGTTTTTGATGATGTTTAAACTGGAAAGCACTAATTAGTCTTAGAGTATAGAAGTAGGTGAGGCTTAAGGATGAGGCTAAAAATGAGTTTTATTTTTCACCTTTTACTCATTCATTTCTAATGATTTGTCTCTAAGATCTTTGTCTTTTCTCATGCTTAGAATATCTGAGGGTTTCTTTATATGATAGTTTAGAATATAGTATTTTTTTTTTTGTTGGTCATGGGGCTTGAACTCAGGGCCTGGGACCTGTCCTTAAGCTTTTTTGCTCAAGGCTAGTACTCTGCCACTTGAGCCACAGCTCTACTTCTGGCTTTTTGGTAGTTAATTGGAGATGATTCTGTTTCTTGCTCAGGCTAGCTTCAAACCTTAAACCTCAGATCTCACCTTCCTAAATAGCATCATATACATGAACCACCAGTTCCCAGCTTGCAACTTAATTTTTTATTTTCATTTTTTGATCTTGCTGATTTCAGTCTTCCAAGTAGCCATAGCTTTCAAAGTGGCACATATGCAGGTCATATTTAGAGTTAGGGAAAAGGAAATATAAAACAAGTTTTGATTGGATATATATGGTCATGTTCTGATAGCTTTAGGCCTTTAATTGACTAAGACTCAGATGCTTGGTTACTATGTATGGGGTCTACTTTGGGAAGAATGAAAGCTGCTTTTGGTTCAATAAGTCAAGTAAATGTCTAGATGAGGTCACTTAAAAACAACCATTAGTCATTTATGATCTGATGTTAGCTACTGTGTCCCTCTTACCCTTTCCCCATTTAAAATATATTCTAAAGCACTTTATGGAATTGAGAAATAATCTTGGTGTGTTGTAGGCTCTAAAATGTAGATTAAGATTTTAGATAATAGTTTGCTTTACAATGTAGCTCTTATTTCTTTTGTGGGGAATCTATCATTTTTGAGAGACTTTAGAAAACGAAATGACTATATCAGTATAATTTAGGAATTTTTTTCTGCAACTATGAAATAGCACTGTAATGACGTGATAGATTATTGATTATAAAAGCAAAAGAAACCTTATATTTATTTAACTTTGTGTTGAATCTGAGCCTAACTTTGTAAAAATATGGAGCTGTTTAATGCACTTTAACCTTTAATTGTTTGTAAATGCCATAGTAGCTTTGTCCAGGATCCTACAGATACCTTTTCCAATTATGTAGTTCTTTTGTGGTATTATTTAATTGTATTCTTTGGGATATACTTAGATTATTAGCTTATTTTTTCTTGTCTGATCACAACAAAAATAGAGGAAAATCTTCTAAGAATATACTTTGTTAAATTTATTACACAAATAGCAACATTCAAACTTGCCCCATTCTCAGAGCTTTTTACAGTCTGATCCCTGTGTAACATTCTTATTTTCTTTCTTAGTATCAAATAACATCATGTATTTTACTGTAAGCATGTTTTCTTTTTTTGGTTCCAGTCTTGGGCCAGAACTCATTGTTTAGACACTGTCCCTGAGCTTTTGTGCTCAAGGATAGCACTCTTATCATTTGAGCGGTAGCTCTACTTCCAGCCTTTTGGTGGTTAATTGGAGATAAAATTTCATTGACTTTTCTGCCCAGGCTGATTTTTGAACTATGATCCTTAGCTCTCAGCTTCCTGGGTAGGTAGCTAGGATTACAGGTGTTGAGCCATCAGTGTGCCTGGCATGAATATGTTTTCTATTATAAAACTGTTTTCATATGCATTTAAAAATTAATACATATAATAGGGCTGGGAAGGTGGCTCAGTGGTAGAGCGCTTGCCTTGCATGCATGAGGCCCTGGGTTTGATTCCTCAGCACCACATAAGCAAAAAGAAAAAAGCCGGAAGTGGCGCTGTGGCTCAAGTGGTAGAGCACTAGCCTTGAGCTGAAGAGCTGAGGGACAGCGCCCAGGCCCAGAGTTCAGTCCCCACAACCGGACCCCCCCCAAAAAAATTAATGCATATAATAGGTAAATAGATAAAGAAGGTGAGGTAAAGGGTAATGCATAAGGGTTTATTAGTGATCTGTACAGTTTAAGAGAATGTTACTAATTTGCTTTTGGGATTCTTAGTAATTAATGAAGAAAGGAAATGTAGATGTTTTGGGACAGTCATGAAAATCTCATTAGTAATTTTTGTAAGACAAAGAAAAAGTTTTTTTTTTTGTTTTGTTTTGGTACCAAAGATAGGTTTATCAAGAATCAAGAACTTCTTAGATTTTACCCTCTTTGCCATGTAGTGTTAATTTGCCACAGTATTCTTTATAGATGTTTGTAGAAGCCATGAGATTCCTGGGTTAGAGAAAAGGACTCTTATTCAGAACACTTCATGCAGCTTGATCTTCATGGTTTTATTAGTACCCTTGCATAATTAATCTAATAAGGATGTTTGTACAGTGGTTTGTGTCACATCTGAAGAACTCTTATAAAACCCTGATTTTTAAAATTAGGACCTACAAGAGAGATACTTCAGGAGCTGCTTGGGAAAGTTTCTTTCTTTTTTTTTTTTTTTCAAAACAGTAGATCATCCTGTCCACCTGAGATTGATGGGCCACCTCCCCCACCCCATGGCCCCCTGAGCCATAGGACTGCTGAAAACCACTGAAAGGCCCCTGGGAGAGGTGCTGCTTTTGTTTGGTGCTGTGGGGGGTGGGAGAGATGAGACTGAGGGACTGCCACCCCACATAGACATGTGTTCCTTGGGGTGGAGGGGCTGAGGAGGGCTTGCCTCCCTCTCCAACCCCAGCCATGCCCCCTCTTCCTTCCTCACCCCTATCCGTTTTGTAAGTCCAGCTCACCTTTGCTTTCAATATGTAACCAAAGGAAAACTCAAAAAACAAACAAACAAACAAAAAACCAC